TCTTCCATCCACCCAGAGACATCTGCATAATTGATTCTTCTTTCACTCTTTTTCTCTTCCAACATTCACCTTATATTATGTAAAATGTGGATTTCTTGGGTCTCACAAGAATGTAACCATTTGCCTCACTGCCCACCCGCTCCTTTTTCTTTCTGTATGCCCCCTCTCCCTAATTACTGAGTTCCCAAATCCCTCTTTGGAGAGCACAGGCCATAGATGCATTTGTGGTTTGTGTTTTTCCCAGGCATATCCTCAAACTTTGGCTTAATAAACCTCCATTGATTGAGATCTTTGCCTTGGTTACTTACTTTGGGTTGTCACATTATTAAAATGAAAAAGGGACATCATCACAGATCTTACAGATATTAGAAATATGAGAGAACTACAAACACACTGATTGATGGCAAGAAATCTGAAAATTTAGATGAAATGCACAAATTCCTAGAAAAATACCCAAGAAGAACTAGGAACTTTAAATAGTCCCATATCTAATAAAGAAATTAAATCCCCAGTTAAAAACCTTCCCACAAAAAAACCTATTAGGCACAAACAGTGTCTCTCCTGAACTCTACTAAATATTTTCAGAAATAACTCCAATCTTACAAAAATTTTTCCAGAGAAGAGAAAAAGAAAAGAGCATTACAAGAAAGGAAAAGTACAGGTTCAGCTCTCACATGAACAGAGGTGCAAAACATCCCAAGCAAGAGTAGCAAACTGAATTCACCTATATATACAAGTTATGCTACATCACCACAAAGTTGTATTTATTCCTGGAATCTAATGTGGGTCTAAAACAAAAAATTAAATGCAATTCTCCACATTAACAAAATAAAGTAGAAAAATTAAATGATAATCTCAATAGTTACAGAAAAAGCATTAATACAATTCAACACCATTCATGATTTTAAAAAAAAAACCTTAGCAAAAAAAATTAGTGCACACATAACACTTGGTGGTGAAATAATGAAAACTCAAGCCTGAAATCAGGAAAAAGACAAGGGTGCTTGCTACTGCACTGTTTCTACTCAGCACTGCACTGGAGGTCCTAGACAGTACAGTAAAGAAAAAGAAAGGGCTTGGGCGTGAGAAAGGCAGAGCTAAAACCATCCTTGTTCAAAGATGACATGATTGTGTACACAAATACTGTCGAAGAAATTGCACATAAACCAATAGCATTATCAAGTAAATTTACAAGGTTACTAGTATAAGTTAATAAACAAAATCAATTGCATTTTTATATACTAGCAATAAGTACTTATGAAATTTTTTAAAACGATGAGTAGCATCCCAAATCATCAAATACCTAGGAGTAATGCTACCAGTGATGCACAAAGCCTCTCTAAAAAAAAACTAAGTGCAAAATAAAAATCCCAACAGGATTTTGTGTGTGTGAAAATTGACAAGTTGATTCCACAATTTACATGGACACGCGAAGACTAAAGTAGGCAGACTGGTGTATCAGACAACTCCCAAATCTCAGTAGCTTGTTGTGAGGACATGTGTTTCCCGCCCATACACAATTCAAGACCATGCTCTGTGGGCGGCCTTCCAATGGCAGAGCTCCGCTCTGCTCTGCTCTGCTGGGCTCCAGACAACAGCGGCGGAGGGGAGGCAGGGCTGAGGGCTGTCCAGGCCTCGAAGTGGCCATCATTGCTCCTGCCTGCATTCCATCATGGGAAAGCAGGTGAGGAGACTGAGTCTAGCCAGGAGCCCAGGAAGAAAGGGAGGAGGTCCAGCAGACAACCCCTAGGCCTGGCCTTCGTCTGTCATTCTGGTTATTCTTATCCACTTTACTCTTCCCCTGCACAGGAGGTCACTCTCCTGCAGTGGTACAACCCAGACACCACTGTCACTGTGTCCACATCACATCACAGCTCAGGTTCTTGGGTGATGTTCGGGCTTCTCCCTCGGGTCCTGATTTGGTCTGGAACCTGCCAACTGGAACGACAAGGGATGTCTCTGCACTCTCACTGTGACATAATGTCTAATGGGGGCTTAAGAGCAGGACAACCAAGAAAAACTCTCAATGGCAGAGGGGAAGAAGGGAGAACACAGATCCACGTGAGGAGGAACAAGGCGTCACAGGGCTCCTCCCCTGGAAAAGCCTTGGTTAGATTGCCACTCTGCCTTCTGGGGAGCTCTCTGGTCTGCCTGTCTCCAGTCCATAGTTCTGCTTGCTGGGGGTGCTGCCAAGGGAAGTGAGGCAATGTGCCCTGCCTCGGTGTTCAGGGCCTTCATCACTTGAGATTTGTCTCTTACCATTTGGAGTCCAAAAGCAACTGGCTTGTCCAATCCTAGGGGGCATCCTTGTCCTTCATCTACTTGCTGCAGCTACTCCTTCCTATGTCTGCATGAAAACCAGCCAATTCTGGCCTAAAATCTTCCTCCTCAGGGAGGCAAATGTGGTGGTCTGCACACCCATCAGCTCTGCTCTGTGCTCTCCAGAGGCTTCCCTCTTGGAGGCCCAGCTGCCTCCTGTGCCCAGCAGGCACTGGCCAGTCTGCCCTGCTCCCTTGCCAACTATCCCCTATTTTGTGTGTGCAACAGTAACAGCTCATTTGAATGACAAACAAATTGACACCTAAATGCATGTCAGGTGGTGACACATGCTGTGAAGCAGCATAGAGCACGTGAAAGGACAGCATGAGAGGACACCTTTGTATGGTCGTGTCTATCACGACAAAGTCAGGGGAAATCAGCTTACATGTTTTATTTTAAGGAAAGAAAACTGATCAGGATAGAAACCATCAGAGCACTCGCTGAACTTGGTGAGGATAAGCATTGTTTTGTGAAACTTGTTTCATGGCTGTGCACACACACAGATACATCTACATACAAATGCACACACATTGTGGCATAATATAAGTGTCCTTTCTACTGAAGGTCACAGTCAAAGAAACTGTTACACAGAGCTGTCCGGGACGGTCTCCCGAGGACATGACATTCTGCAGAGACCTAAAGCCTGTGGGTGCAGAGCCTGTGGCTGTTTGAGAGAACATTCCAGTCAGAGGGAACAGGAAGGACCAAGCACTGAGATGGAAACAGCTGGCTCAAGGAGGGCAGCAGGCCAGGGTCACCTGCCTGGGGACCAGGAGGCTACCAGAGGCCAGGCCACAGAGCCTACTGACACAAGGGGACTTTGGGGTTTACTCCTGGCAAGTTGGGATACATGAAGGTGTGGATCTGACTAAGCAGATCCCTCTGGGGCTGTAGGGTGGAGAACAGGCTCCAGGAAGCAGAGGAGGAAGAACCAGCAGCTTCTGTGGGGGTGGAGCAATGGGGAAGGCAGAGCCCACACAGTCCGCTGACTGGTCAGAGTGTGGTCGGGGAGAAAGAGAAGCAGAACAACTTCAACATTCTGAGCTACTTCATGCACTCACACATACACTCATATACAGAGGACAAAAGAATATACATTTTTTCTAACACCAGTGAATATCATGTATTAAACCACAATGAAAATCTTGATAATTAAAAAAAAAACCCATATAGCCACATTCTCTGGTCACAATGCCATAAACCTAAAAATTAACTATACAAATGACAGTGGAGCTAAGATCTAAGCACTTACAAATTAAAAAATATTCTTTTAAATACTTCTGGAGTTAAAAAGATATAAAAAGATTAGAGACTATTTAGAAATGATACAGAAAAGCAGTACTTAAAGTGATATAGAATAGCACTTCACAGAAGGAAACGCATTGTCTCAAATATATCTATTAGGAAACAAGAAAGAAAATAAGTGACCTAAACATTCAACCCAAGAAGCTAGAGAAAGGCGCAAGGGCCCTACCCACCACCCTTAAGCCTGACCACATGACGGGCTCAGTGTGCCAGGGGCAGAGCAAGGAGCAGAAACCGGCTCTGTCACTAAGAGTTTACTTTTCTTTTTTTTCCCCTGCTGTGTCGCTCGATGTTAAAAGGGCCACCCGCGGAGGAGACAGGTGGCCCCAGTTATTCGCAAGCCAGTGCTCTGGCGCTGCAGCCTGACCTACAGCGCCACGCGGAGGCACAACGGGGCTCAAAGGCAGCGCGTTGTCACCAAGAGTTTAAACTGCCACATATTTGGAGGAAAACAAAGTACTTTCTATTAAAAATTTAAACATTTAAATCTTTTGCCCTTGCCTTTTCACTTTAGGAATTTGTGCCACGGAAATATTCTTAAAAGTGTGGAGAGATATTAGTAAAAAATTTTCACCATAAGGTTGTTTGAAATAGTGAAAAACTGAAAAAACTCAAAGGCTCACCAATAGGAAAATACTAAAATATCATGCAGTCATTTTAAAAGAGTGTGAGTGTGCCCAAAATATAGCGTCAACCAAGAAAACATCATTTTGTAAAAAAATAAATCACCATAACACATACAGAACAGGTACAAACTCCTGGCCGTCCTCATCGTTGGGAAACAGGATTTGGGAACTTTCACATTCACCATATAATTTTCTGCATTTGAATTTTGCATAACTTTGTACTATGTTTGTAATCAGAAAAAACAATTATGATATTTTAAGACATCAGACCAAATGCACAATCATTTGTAACTAAGTTTATACCAAAAACAAGTTACACTGACATACTTTATAGATAGAACAAAAGGCACTGTTTTAAGCCTACTGCAGCAGTAATTGATTTTTAAACTTACCTTATGAACAACTCTCTTAATTATATATGACCCCTCTGAAAAATCAAACTCTATCACCCTCTTAAGGAGCTTGTATTGTGCTGAAGAAATCTATTTAACCCATTTTCATTTCCAGGAACACAGCACAATTCAACAAACTACAAATAAGGTCAATCTATGGCTAAGAAAAAAAGTTGTATTGATGTTTTAAAAACCAAATCCTAAACCGTACTTTGATTATTCAGCAATCTTGTAAGAACCAGCCAACCTAGAACAATGGTGAAAATTTTAGATACCACAAATGACTAAAAATTAAATCTCAAATTTAAAAGGAAATACTACTGTGATTAATATTCAGATACTGCAGATTTCAACTTACATGCTTGGAAAGTAAAACTGTACGACAAGGAACTTTACAAATCAAGCATTCATCCTTTTTACCTGTAAAATAAAAACAGATTTTATTATATACTGACTAATGCTTTTAAACATGTATAAATGCAGACTTTAAATTATAAAGCTTCTTCAAGAAATATACGGGATTATAGCACTTAAATGTCTTCATGTTCAGACAAATGATGAGGCTGTGGATATAGATACAGTTGGAATTATTTTTACAACTAATATTCTTTTTTTTTCCTGCTTTGCAAATATGCCCCAAAATGTGACCAAAAAGATCAACAATACTTAAGGCTAAATTTATCCCAATATTTATTACAATTAGGTTCTATAGTGATAGCTTAATCTAAAATTTGCAACTATTCCAAATGAAAACAGCTCCTCCTGCTCCCCAAATACGAAATGAGTTTGTTCTGTCCCTCTTGCTCTCACCTCTACAGCATTGCACAATGTGCCCAATATCCAGGACAGACCATCCCTCCACTCACTAGATACATACTGCACTGAGCTACCTGTGAGCCAGCGCTAGGACTAAGAATGGAAGGTTCAAGTGTCCCACCTACTACAATCCTGTTAATTCACCTGCCCAATCTCCAGGGTCTGGGCCTTAAATTCATAGTAATTCTAGCACTTTTTCACCATCTTCCTCTCCATGAAATTCTAATCATCTCCCTGGAAAACTTGTACCCCTATTTGGCTGGGTATGAACATCAGCCTTGCAGTTCCCCGCTGGCCCTCCTTGGTGATGTCCATGTACCCACATCAGGACCTGCTGCCACAACCACGCCCTGGGACCCCACAGCATCCACAGTATCATCGTAAGAATTTAGAACTCCTCCCTACCCTTCCAACTCCTTCTCTGGGAGCAGCAAGGCCTCTCATCCCAGGCCAGGCATTTCCTCGTGCCCTTGGGCTTGATTTCTTCACTAGCCAGCTTGGAGCCCAGGGCTGACAAGTCACTACCAAAACCTCCTTGTTCCTTATCCTTCCAGGGAGCACGTCTGGCCCAGAGCTGGATAAGTCCAATTGCTTTTTTCTCCCCACTTCCAGGCCAACGCAACTAAGAATTGGGGAAAAAAATCCCTTTTCCAAGAGGTAGATTCACAGATTTGTGGATTCCAGCATTTCTGAGTCTGCAACACTGCTAGGTAATCCTGCTTTTCTTGGGTGTCTCCCCCCATTCCCTATTGGGAAGGTGTTCAAACAGGCCTCCTTATACCATCTACTGAGAAGAAAAAAGTGCCTGCAGATGGCCTACCTCAATTTCCCTGCCCTCTTCTCTAGGTGGACCTGCTATACAACCCAATTCACTCTGCCTCCTTCCTGTCTGACTTGAAGGGGGTATCTCCTCCAGCCCAAGTCTAAGCCCAAGGCTTCATCTGTGTGTTCACACTCATCTCAGTGTCCACAGGACCTAGCGCACAGAATGGTGCCCTGGTGTGGAATGAATGGTCATTTTCTAACAGCCTCCAGGGTTGTCTCCTTTCCTCTCTTCTTACAAACATGTTCAAGTTGCCCCCATCCTAAAAACAGCCACCTTTGACAGTGTGTCCCCACCCTTCTATATCTTTGGCTGAAAATTTTGGAGTAAGGAAATTCCTCTTATGCACCATGACAGCCAGAAGCTATGCAGTAAAAGATTAACAGAGCTGACTCATAAACATCTAGAAGTTCTGATGAAGGAGGAGGATTAAAAGACATGACAGAGAAGAAATCATATGCAGCTAACTGATAGACAAAGTGGCTGACACTTGATATATAAATAGTGTTTATAAGTCAATTAAAAAGAAACGCTCCAATTAAAGGCTGTGAAGGGACCCGAATGAGCAATCAGCAAAAGTGCAAATAGCCAATAAACGCATGAAAAGAAAATCAAGGTCACTCATAAGAGATGCCAAAGTGGGAGGACAAAAAGTGCACACATGCTGGGAATATAAAGGGGCACACCCTTTTGGGACGGCAGTCTGGTCAGGTTTAATGTGCACATCCCTAGTCTAGCCATACCACTCCTGGAAAATATTCAAAGGAAAAAATCAAGTAAGTGAACAAGTGGTGTTTAATAGCAAAATTTCAGAAAATATAAAGGTCTTTTAGTAGGGAATCAAATAAATTATGGTACAATAACTAAAAGATATATTATGCAACCTTAAAAATGATGATACAGATTTATTTTAACATGGAAAGAGGTCCATGTCCTAATAAGTAACAAAAACATCATTAAATGGTATACACACTATATCATTTTTGTTTTAAAAATTTGCATCTGTAGGAAAAAGTCTGGAAGGATATACACCAGTGCTTAAGGAGGGCTTATCTCTGAGTAATGGACCACCGACTGGACAGCTATGGAGCTACACCCAGGGCTCTGCCCAGAGTCCCCATCCATTTTCACCATTTTTTTTGTATGTCCCTGGATTTGGTGTGGTTCCAACATGCAGCATCTATAGCCTTTTGGAGTAATGAACTTGGGCCATTGGAACCTGTGTTGGCCTCAGGATTCAAGGGCTAGAAGTACCTGGGAATCTACCCCTGCCCCAGCCCCTTAACCTGGCTATTGCTGACCCCAAAAACTATGACACTCTGAGCCTTGTCATTTCGCCTCCCAACACCATGAACACACATGCATCTCCATCATTCCTAACAACATTATCACCATAACAACATTACATTGGGTCACCACTGACCTCTCCTCACTAGTCCAGCGGATACCTTCAAACACCAACTCTTTGACTTTGTTGAGATGTAGTTCATCAACACTTCTGCTTTCTTTTTTACCCACCATCCTTCTCCTATTTTCACTTACCTCCTTTAAAAAATGCTCTTTCCCACGTGATAGTATCTTCTAATTTTCTCTACCTTTGGGGCTCTCTACACTCCAATATCTTGGGTTATTATTCCACGTTAATGGCTCCCCAAATGTATTCATGGCTCTCTTGATTTCCAGACCCACTATACTCAGCTGCCTCTTGTCTCCCCCCTGGATGGTTCTCACAGCACACAGACAACGTCCAAACGTGAGCTTCGAGTCTGTCACTGCATCTGCTGTTCTCCTCTCCAGTGCTCTGTCCAGCAGTGAAAACCCTGTCCAGTTCCCTAGCTTTCTTCCTTGACTCGAATATGCTGAATCTACTTCTCCCAAATCCATCACTTCTCCCCATCCCATGTCCCCAACCTGTCCCCATCACCTCTCACATGCTCAACTGCAGTCTCTTTCACAATTTCAATCTCCCTCCAATTTACTTATTATCCAGTTGGCAGAGAGACTTTTCTTTTTAAATACATACCCGAAATTCAGCAACTCTCCTCATAGTTATCCACTCAACAGAAATGTGTACCTATGCTAACCCAAAGACATGAGCAAGAATGTTCACACTAGCACTGTCACAGGCAAATCTGGAAACAACCCAAATACCCATCAACAGTGGAAATGATCAGTAAGTTAGGGTACAGCCATACAACGGAATATCATACAGCAATAAAAATGGATGAACTATGGTCATATACAAATACAGAGATGAATTTTGCAAACGTAATGCTGAACAACAGAGACGAGACATGGAAAGTGAGCATTCTGCATGGTTGTATGATTCCATCTACTTAACGTTCAAATCGGTCTAAGGCTATCTACATGGATGGAAGTCAGGTTAGTGATCATCCTTGCCAGGGCTTCAGAGGGGCTGGTGATGTACTGTTTCTTAATCTGAGAGCTGATTTCACAGGTAAGTTCACTTTGTAAAAATTCATTGTGCTTTGCGTTTATGCTTTTTTTTCCCTGTATAAACTTTACCTCAACAAAGTTTTCATTAAAAATAAATAAATAAATGTATCTCTGATCATGTGACTACCCTGCTTAAAAACAATGCTTTGCATGGCCCACTAAAACAGGGCCAGGGTCCTTTGTAGGCATGCTTTGGACTACTTTTCCAGGCTGCACTCCAGCTTTTCTGGAATTCTTCCAGCTCCTCAGGCATCTCCACACTTCCTTCCACCCTGGGGTCTCTTGCACTTGCCTCTCCTGCCTGGGAGCCCCGCTGTGGGCCCCGCTGCCCCTAGGGAACTCTCATACCCCTCTGGCTCTGGCTTCACCGTTGTGGCACTTGTCTTTCATAGCATCCTCCCGACAGGGTCTAGTGTAGTGTCTGCCTGCTCCACGGTACAGGGAATGCCACACTCCCAGCGCAAAGGCGAGAGGCCGGAGTTGGTCAGCTCCCCAGGTCACCACCATCACTCCAGGTACCCTGCTCCCTTGGTCTATGCTGAAAGGACCAGCTGTCATGGGACAGGCACCCTCCAGGCCTCCCCTCTGCCCCTGGTATTCCCCCTCCCCCAGCCCCCCCGGGCCTCTCAGCCTTCCCAG